GCTCAGGCGGGCTGCGCGTCCCGCGCGTGCGGGCGCCGGCGGAAAGTTGGGACGGTGCTCAACGCGGGGCTGCGGGCGCGGACGCGCGTGGGTAGCGGCGCCCGAGTTGCCACCTGGCCGGGACCGGCGGGCGGACGCTCGCGGGGCGCGGGGCGCGGGCGCCGGCTGCGCGCTTTCGGTTCTCGGGGAAGTTGGTACCCGGCGGCCCGCGGCGGCGGCGCGCGTGGGCGTGGGGGAGGGGCGCGGCCCCCGGCGCCTCAGTGGGGTCACCCGGCCGCGGGAGCGCGAGCAGGAGCGGAGCGGCACCGACGTGGGCCGCTTCGGGGACCGGGTCGCGGTGCGTCCGCGTCGGGCGCTGTGGTGCCCGGCCCGGCCCTGCGCGGCGGCCGGCGTGGGACCGTTATTGTCTGGACAGTTCCCGCGGCGGGCGCGGGCGGCGGGCGAGGGCGAGGGCACCCGCTCCCGTACCTGCTGGGCGCCGGCGGGCTCCGGCCTGCGCGGCCGCCGGGCTATATAAGGAATTGCGCGTGCTTTCGGACCGGGCTCCTGCCCTGCGTTATCTTTACGGCGAGTTTCTGAGAGTGGGGTACATGCGCCCCGATCCGAGAGCTGCGGCGTCCAGAAAAAGAGGAAATACGTGTTGAAGTCAAAACTCTGGCGCCCCCCTCCCGCGGGCTCCCTTTCTCCCTCCCCTCTGGGATGCGAAACGCGAGGTTTTGTAACCTTTCCTGGCAGTTTTAGGTTTTGTGTGGGATTTCCTGTCTAGATGCAGATACGGGGTTTGAGGCTGTTCCAAGATGTTTCCTTCCAATTGTAAACATATTTTTGATGTTTTTTGAGCAGACATTCATTAAAATCACTGCCTCCACGTATGGTTTTAGTTTTTCAAATAAATACGTACGTTTTAAAGGCGTCTGTTAGCTACGGCTGGAAGGTATATTTGGGATCCTCGTTGTGGAGAGATGACTTGTTATGGCAAGGAGCGGAGCACAGGCTATTGCAATTTTAATTTCCTGTTCTAGCGTCAGATAGAGTGTGTTCTATATTGAGCTGTTGCCGCTGTTGCTGATGTGGCTTTATGAAAGGTAAGTTGGTTCTGAAAGGGCTGTTGGCCTTTTACCTTATTTAAAATGTTGATCGCCGGAGAAAGGGGCTTTTCTTGCTGCTGACGACATGTGTGTGACATGTGAGTCTGAACCACCCAGCGTCTGTGCAGCTGCTGTAAACATGTTTACCTGAACAGGAAAAAATGGATTTTTCTCCCAGAGATCCTGTGATATGAATATTATACTCGTAAGGCGTATCAACAGATGACTTAAGGGGAAAAAGCTATCCTGAAAGGTACTTGAAATCAACAGGAAAAAGAGATTCTCGATCGCTGCAGCAAATGGCAACTTGTGCAGGTAGAAAAAAGATGGTGTTTAGTTTTCTCCTGCATGTGTGTCAGCCCCTCCTGTCTGCTGCCTTCATTCTCAGGGGAGGGATTTATTTACCACGCTTGCTGTCAGTGTTTTTCCTTTGTGTTTAATATTAGAAAAACAGATTTGGGGCTGTTAGCAGAAAACGTCTTGACTGCAGCATGCATTGCTCTCGGAAAACAAAAGGTGTTCAATAGCGCCGTACTACTACAGGTATCTTCCATTTTCATCACTTTTGCCTCTGTCCTTGTGTTTCTTTTTGTTCTCAAATGCATTTCATCCGTTGCTCATCATTACAGCCGTGCTGTTTGGTTTAGCGTCATATTTTGCTAATTAGAAATGAAGTTCTATGCCATTGTGTTGTGAAACCTCAGTAGGCACTGGTTAATATTTCTTAGCAGCGCCGTCATATTTAAGTTGCAGATGCTTTTGAAGAGAGAATTGTCTGCGAAAGTGTTAAATCTGTAGACAGTGGGACGTAGTCATAGCTATTTTGTGTTATGTGTAAATGATATTTTTATTCATTTTGAAATAAGGTATGCAGATTTTTTTCTGATGCCTTCAGTAAAGCATTTTGATTTCCTTTCTGTAACATTTGGGCAGGGTAGGATATTAATGGGCGGATCGAGTGATGTGACTCGACAGGGATCAGCCGACTGATCCAGGCTTGACCAGAGCATCAACCCTGTGTGGCAACTCAATGGTAATGATGTTAGTCATCTCTAAAGCAGTGACATTAGGGTTGTTTAAACTGATCTTTACCATTTGTAATTTAATGCTTTGTTATATTTTTAAAATCTGTCTTTTCTCATCTTTCACATTACTCCCTATGTGATGTGGTTTTCTTCTTTAAAAATTTTTTTTCCTTGAAAAATATCCTCTAGCTGCTGATAACCACATGCTAATTCACCTGATATATAATAGTAGGTACATATCTTTCTGTAATTAGCACCATTTCTTGCTGTCTTTGGAAACCACCAGTAGAGGATGCTAACAAAAATGATTATCGATGTGGCAGTATCATAAGTCTATCTCCTGTGCTGATTAGGGTCTTCTGTATAATTCTTAGTCTTATGGTTACTTGTAATTAGCCCTGGGTAAATCAGGCATGAGCATTTTTTAGTTTACTGAGATTAGAAAGAAGTAGACATGCTTAACTTGAGTAATTTTATAAATTTGAGCCTTTAAAGTTTTGTATTCAGGTTGATATTAATTTAGTCTTGCTGCAAAGCAGTTTTAGCATTCCTTTCTTTAAAAAAAGTTTTACATTCTTAAACTTGGGTAAGGAAATGTAATGATTGTCTATACTTATTGTGTGTGTTTATTATATTTCTAGTTTCCTCTTTTTGTGCTTAGTAGGATTCCTTTAAAAAAAGGTGTTAAATTGTAAATTGTTAAGTCTGGGAAAATTGTAATTAATTGATTGAAAACACTGTGTAATACTTTTCCATTACTTATGTAGATTTAGACTATAAGTTGGCAGACAGCTACTAAATAAAATCTAACCAGCAGTCACTCATATTAGTGATTTTTAGATTTTATCTTTTCTTTCACCCGTCAAGTTCCCTTCCTACTTGTGGTCCTCCCCTATTTTGTAGCGTTAGTTAAAACTAGTGTATAAATATTTAGTTTACTAATTTTAAATTAAATGTAAGTTTGCTTTGCGGATTTAAAGGCAGTCAGTAGTTTATTGTTACATTAATAATTCAAAGAGTTATTTCAGAAAGTTATGTAAATTGAGTTCATAACTTTTACATGCAAATAATCGTATGAAACTTAATGTATTTGGTTATGGCATTCCAGTAGCGGAGGCGGAAAGCCATGCAATGTTGGCAGAGGGTGTGCATTAGTGTGCAATGCAGTGAGAGATGAGAGGACCCTGGGAGATTGTAGAAATAGTGTTTAGCATTGAAACAGCTCTTAGCTATATGACCATTAATTTATGGGGAAATGTATGTTTTGCTCATTTTTAACAGATAATGTAAAATTTTTCAATGTGTTATTGAAAAAATTTTTAAATAAGTGCCCTAATGAGGACATATGATGAGATACTTTTTAAAAATACCTTTAAAACTCATAGATATACACGAGTAGCTAAATAATCATGGCATATGCTAAAAAGTTGTATAGATATATATGTAGTGGAAACAAGTTTTGTTGCAACTCTAGTTAAAATTTTCTTTGAAATGCAGTATTGTACACAGAGTAGTTGTGGAGTTGACATAAAGCAAAGTGAATGTATTTCTGCTAGTGTAGTATTTTTTGAGGATGGACTTGTATTTTTATAAAATGATAAAACCACATCTTTAAAAAATTAAATCTTGTGTTTATATAGGCATTGGTAAAGGAAATAGTCTTTCTTTGGGTGAGACTGTGTTTCGAGCATTGTTATCTCTTAAAGCATTTTTAAGACATCAGTTTTACTACATAAAATTTTCCACTTGTACAGTAAGCATATCTGGATTTTTAACTTAATGAAAGTGAATCATTGCTGTTTGTTAACCTGAAAATAGTTGCTTGAAGACATGACAGACTAACATATTAAATAGCAAAATGTTCTTTAGTTAGGAAAATTTGCCTTAAGATTGTTTATAAAGAAGAATATGTGATATTTAGAACTTAATATTGCTAAATATGCTTTGGAGTATATAATATGGATGCAGATAAATTGAAAAATTTCCACAAGAAGAGCAGATGGTATGACATCATTAGGTGATGCAGTTTTATGGAGCCATCATTGGATATGAGGTTTGTCATTGACCAAAACATCTTCATGTATGGCATTCCTCTCTTATCCATGGGAGATATATTTCAAGATATTCTTTCAGTTCTCAAATCTTGGAAAGTATTGAACCCTATGTGTGTGTATAATATGTATATACATATATATATGTAACATGTTGTTTCTTTTATAAAGCTATCTATAAAGCTTAATTTTTAAATGAGGCACCATAAGAGTAAAAACAGCTAATGATAAAATAG